GGAGAGGAGTGCACATGAAGAAACAAAGCAAAAACAACTTGAAGACAAAAGACAGCTCGGAAACAGTAGTAAACAGGTTTCTCATTATTTTCTACTTTCCTCTACCTAATAAGATCCAACCCTTTGGGTAGCTGAAGGTTTGAGTGAGGTCACTCACTTAACTGGCGGGTAGACCAACTTTGAAAATGGAACGAGGTGTAACACGCCACACACGTCAAGGTTAATTAAAGCATTAAAGGTATCAAATTGTAGGATAACAATGATATCTTCGAAGAGAGACTCTCGGCGGTGGGTGGGTCTGAGAGTACTATATTTTATTATCATTTATATCAGGATTATATTGTCCCCACATTTGGCCAGTTGACAAAATCCAAATTCCAAATTTGATTGAATTCGGATACATTTAAGCTAGACTCTTGATATAAATTCTGGAAGATAATTCGAGCTCTCCTACACTTCCAAAAAGAAAGGAAGACTTGCTTCCATTCCACACAGAAATTGTCTCTGCTTGGGAATGTCTCATTTGAAGACATGTTTGAGATCCAGAAATAATTTATGAATTCATGAAAAGAAAATAGTCATCAATACTTATGAAGCATGGAAAATACTGACATGAAATTTCTATAGTGCAGTTCCTTAATTTCCCATGCTAAGAGCTAATAAGAGATGCTATACGTTCACTCACGTGATTCTGAGCATTCACTTCATTAAGAGTATCATCTCCATCTAAATAAAAGAACTTCCTTGGAGTCATTTGAGGAAGGAAATTCACATGCTATCAACTCTCCATACCTCTCATGCCATTCAACTCCCCCTTACTGGCCACCTGCATTACAGTACCTGGGGAAATCCCATTGCTCGATCACTACAGTAGGTAGTAAATGATATTCTTTTGATAGTTTTCATTAAAAATATGTTTCAAAACGATAAAAAAAAAACCTTTGCCAAGATGTTTTCTTTAACTCCAAAGTAATTTATAAATTGTTCAAAGAGTTAAAAAAAATGAAAAAATCGGGAAGGGGTCCGACGAATTTTGCGGCACTCAATATCGGTAATTATGATAATAGGAAACCATGAGGTTAACGTCCTCCAATGTGTCATGCATGGAATATTGGATTTCCATAGGCAACGCCTGGTACTTCAGCTAGTAGTTAATGTAAGTAACTTATGGTGAATATTTCCTCTTAGATGGGAGCACCAAGACAACAAAACAAAGAAGAGACGCTGGCTCAAAAAATGATGGGGAGGTGCATGAGTAATGACGGATTCATTCATGTACTTCCCCGAAATCAGGTGAGCATAAACATAAAGAATCGTGCGGTCAAGTTCGACATCGGTGACAAAAGACCCCTCAGTGGACAGGAAAAAGTACTCATGCTTGTCAGAGCCACTGGAGCAGGTAAAGTTCGCCAGATTCTGAATTAACGTTTCTTGACTAACTTTATATTCAATTAACTCTTTCCGGCTCCTTCTTTCCCTCCTCAGGCAAGAAGACACTCATCAATGGGATGGTGAATTACTTATACGGAGTAAAATGGGAAGACCCTTTTCGTTTCAAGCTGATTGTGAACGAACGCGTAGAGACATCCCAAGCTTTAGGTGAATCTAAATGGATCATGGTATACGTCCTACATCGCCAGGAAGAATTCCGTTTGCCCTGTACTTTGACCGTCATTGATATCCCCGGGTTTGGAGATACTGTGGGGTATAAGGCAGACAATATGTTGAGATCTCAAATCCACGAGTTGTTTGCCCATTTTGGGAACTTGGGAGTGTATCAGCTTGATGGAATCTGCTTCGTTGTCCAGGCCTCCCTAGCCAGGCTGAGTCATGCAGAAATGTTCATGTTTGACTCCATCTTGGGCATGTTTGGGAAAGATGTTGAACAAGCCATATATCAACTGACTATCTTTGCGGACAGCCAGAAACCTCCGGTTTTCCGTATCCTTAAGAATGCAAACATTCCATTCAGAAACTCTATCAAAGTAAACAATTCTGCATTTTTTGTCAAACCGTCTGATGAACCTGATGCTGAGGATTTCAATAGCTATTTTTGGAAAATAGGAATATCAAGCTTTGAAAAATTATTCAAGGATTTCCTTCAGAACGCACCTGTGAGTCTGACTCTGACGCAGGATGTCCTGAAGGAGAGGAAACTGTTAGATGGCACACTCCAAGGTATCTTGCCGCAAATTAAGGCAAGTGAGAAATAGCATCTCAACGTTTGCACTTTGAATCAATGCACATACTGATATCCAGTACTATTTTATCTGTGAATTCTTTTTCTAGCTTTGGCAAGGGCAGAAAGGGTGAGGCAAACATATTTGGCATTGAAACAGCACGAAGCAGAGGCTGAAGCTAGCAAGAATTTCTGTTACAAAGTCAAGGAACTAAAACAAAAAAAGGTGGACCTAGATTCGGGAACGTACGTGACGAACTGCCTTGTATGCCACATCATATGCCATTATCCATGTTACATTCCAGAAGGCCAAGACCTTGCTAGATGTCCTGCGATGAAAGGAAGAACTTATTGCACAATTTGCCCTAAGAAGTGCGCGTGGAATGCACATGTTAATAGCCCATATCGCATCGAATGCGTTGAGGTAGAGGAGGAAAGAACTTCGCAAGACTTGAGGAATAGGTACGAGGAAGCAATGGGGAAACGAATGAATGCCGAACGTGGTCTCAACGAAGTCATCAAAGACTTCAACGTAGAGAGGATCAATATATTAAAGATGACCGAGGAGGCGCACAAGTGCTTGCAGAAGCTCGACAAGATTGCCCTGAAGCCCGAGCCATTGGATATCACAGAATACATTGATCTCTTGATTGAGAGCGAAAAACGAGAAGCCAAAGCTGGTTTCCAAAATAGGATCACAAATCTTCTAGATACAAAAGAGAAAGCAAAATTGCACAAGAACCTGAAGGATGGTAATGATCCATTTGAGGCATGCATGAGGGAGTTTAGTGATCTACCTTTGGATACGTTTGACTTTGGGTCAATTCATATCTGAAGCTCGACAAGATTGCCCTTAAGCCCGATCCATCGGGTATCACAAAATACATTGACCTCTTGATTGAGAGCGAAAAACGAGAAGCCAAACCTGGTTTCGAACAGAGAATCACATACCTTCTAGATGCAAAGGAGAAAGCAAAATTGGCCGAGAACCTGAAGGAAGATTTTGATCCATTAGAGAAATGCATGAGGGAGTTCAAAGAATTAGGTATGAATATCTCTGACTTTGAATTCGCCAATTCTCAATCGAGTCTTTCCCGTGCGTGTCAGAAAGTTAAACAAATTGGGGCCAACTTTTTATTCAGTGGCAAGAACTAAAAATGTATTGCCTGTTATTCAGCTGGCTTCCAAAAAAGAGCGAATGTGCTTCTATCCATATTCCATATCTTCTATCCATATTATATCTATATTTGGAAATGAATTTTGCATATGGAAAGTGAAAGAGAGCAAATTATTTACAGTGTATGGGCAACGCAGTGGTAAGAATGTTTCCTGCCTGTCGTTATGTGGTAAGAATTGAGTATCAAAACCGCCTGCCATCCGCTGATGCTGACTTATTCGAGAGTGTTCCTCATGCATAATATACTCAGATTACAGCCTAATTCCAAATAAAATTGCTCATCCTATGTAGATTGGGAAACAAACATGCTCTAATTTCAAATAAACATATATTCTGTGTTTCTTGTGCAGGAGTCTTACAACAGCGCATGTTCCAACTGACCTAAATAGTAGAAATTTGAATTTTCCATGACACAAATTTTCCCTACAATATTTATCCAATGAAGTGACCGGATGTGATAGCGTTCTACATTGCCCATCCGGTGGCGATCATCCCCATCTGTGCCCATTGCTTTCAGCCTCTGCCCGGAATTCATCTACATCAGATTTCCCATTCTTCAGGCTGACGATGGCCTGCAGAACATCCTCCATGGTGAGACTAGTCTCCGCGCCGAGAGGCTCCAGGTTGGGTAGGTCATTTTCCACTGTTGCACAGTGGTACGAAAGTCCGAATTTCTTGGACAAAAGTCGAATTTTGAAAATGGAGGAAGAAAAAATCTTTTATCGTTAAAAGTTACGGATTGAAGTCCTTGTCCTGCATCGATATTTCAGGTCCGGAAGGAGACCAGGAAATAATCGGAAATGTACCACGTTTCCAGTTACTAAACTTGAAAAGAATATTATATCTCTGAACTACGGTTTTTGTGACAAAAGTTTGTCATGTAATACGACTGTTCTTATCGCTGTTTTTTCATTGAGTGCGATCTGAAGGTGTACCTGAAAGTGAGTCTTGCTTGTTGTATGTATCGTTTTACTCCCGATGTGTATGCATAACTCATGTTATTCCTGTGTAGATCCTGTGTAGTTGATTGATGAACTACTTCTAATGACAAGGTAAATTTATCGAGTGAATTTGAAGTACTTCTCAAGATTTCTCAGAGAATTCCTTATAAGCCAATAAGTATCTATTAACGAAAAGCAAAATCAGCCCAAAATCTCCTGCGTCCAGTTGCGCCTTTCGATTCCATTCCAGTCCGATTCCATTTCATCGAATAACTTCTTTCACACCTCCTGTTTCGTTTAGGCCACACCACGAGCACGAGTTCGGCGCACCGCGGTGCAGCATGTCCTCGAAGAATCTGACCGAACGAACATGTACTCCCTGTAAGCCACCTTCTTGGCAGTAACAGTCTCGCGTACCTCTGGTCTCGCTCCAGTCTGAGGCAGGTCAGAGCGACGTGCTTGCTCACTGGGTTCCATTCAATCGCGCTGTCGGCCAGATGGGGACTAAAAGAATATCACACTCCCGCCCGAGAAAACATGGTCGAGTCGACTCCACTCCAATGGAGGGTCTATCCGTGGCCTAGGGTGGTGAGAACCACCCTGCAGACGCGTCTCTCACGGACCGGTCGTAAATCTTCCCACGGCAACCTCCACCTGACTCGTTCGTCTCCGGAGTGAGACGGCGAATACGGCCCACGCAGTTATGAGGGTGTCCACTGCCGGGTGCAATCGAAGATCGCTATTGACGCCCAACTCATGGAAGCAGGACCCTGGCCATCCTCTTTGCCTCAAGTCTCCTCTGGCTGGCTTCAGACGGATGCATTCTAA